TATATATATATATATATATATATATATATATATATACATATATATATATATATGCATTCTAAAATTGGTTTTACAGTATCTTTTTTTATTTTATTCATGTATTCTGTACTTTCTTCATGCCTCATTCTGCTTGAGTTCCCTTTTCAGGTAGAAACACGGAATACAAATCCAACCAAACATTAATGAATTGATTACATTAGTCTGAGATGAAGTTATTAGCAGTATCATCTGCAGCAAACCACAGTGACAGTAAAATGATGACACACCCAATTTAGCCATTACAGACTTTCATCCCGACCTTTGACCCAGGTACTTAAGTGGTGATTTGTGTGATGACTTCATTATGCAGATGTTGTCATTTATTTCCCATCCTATGGACTCCAATGACTGCTACATAATAAATGGGTGCATAAACTGCTATATAAATTGGCATTAACTATTTGTGCAAGAACTTGTTCATGTATTAGATGAAAACTTTCACCAGAGTCAACCTCTTTGCCTTTAGTGGTAGCTTTGCACCAAAATTCCAGCAGGAAACAGCATACAAATAGCACAAAGAGGTAAGACAAAAAGGGTTTCTAAGCCATGTGTGCCCATTATGCTGCTGCTGTTATGATTTGGGCTGAGCATGTTTTGTGAACCATCCACTGTGAGTGGTAAGCTCTGGTTTATGATGTAATGTGTTCAAGGAATCTGCTAATACAAAAGTTACATTTATTTATTTATTTATATCCTGCCTGATTATTTGCATATTAATAACTTAAGGCACACACCTTGATTTATTATAATTTCCAACACACCTTCCTGCTGTTATTTTCCTCACAACAACAATATTGTGAGCTGAGAGGGAGAGAGAGAGACTGGTCCGAGGTCACCTAGCCAGCTTTCATGATTAAGGCGGGACAAGAACCCATAATCCCCTGACTTCTAGCCTGGTGCCTTAACCACTACTGGCACATTAAATTGAACCTGCTAAAGCAGCAGCGACTTTTTTCCATTGTAGGAAGTTATCATCCAGACCCACTCCCAGAAAAATGAAATATCCTAGGAAATATTGAAAAGGCAGAATATTTCTCTGGATGTGAAAAGAAAGGAACATGTTTTAAAAGACAGAATAG